TGTGCCTAATGTGGAGATTTGTCACATTTTCATAATAAAATGTTTTGATATTAATATGTTTTAAAACGGAAATATAAAACTATCCTCAGTTGCTACTTGACATGGACATTATTAGCTAGGTAATTCATTAAGGGTATCATTGTAGAAGTTTTTTCTTCAAAGTGCACAATAGTGTTGTGCCTCAGCTCAAGAGAGATGGAGCATCATAATTGCATCACTAGTGCAACAGACAGATGGGGAGCAATGTACAAAGAGATAAAGGTGGAAAAGTTGGGTGGGGGGGACTATGTAGTAACTCCATCGCGGCAAAGCTATCCACTGTGTCCAGCACATTTCCCAGAGTTGCTCTCCTTCCTAGCAGAAGGGTATTGATTGCCCTGTCTGTTTGTATCACAGCAGACCCCACTGTAGATTTACCTACTCCAAATTGATTTCCGACTGATTTGTAGCAATCTAGCGTTGCAAGTTTCCACGGAGTTATTGCCACTTGCTTCTCAGCTGTCTGAGCAGATCTCATTCTGGTATTGCTGTGCTTAAGAATGGAGGAAAGCAATAACAAAGTTCCATGGAAGTGGCTTTATGCATGCAAAAGTTTTGCAGCCATTGATCATCGTCCCATTGCTGCATATCTGTGCGGTCCACCAGTCTGTGCTTGTCTCATGGGACCAGAATCAGCATCCCATAGTGTCAACAGGAGTAACTGCTGCCATTGTAGGCCAATTGCTCCACTCAGTAAGTTCCTCCATATTTGTGTTCATGTCCTCCTCCCCTTCTTCCTTACTGTAGCGGCATGTGACTAGGCTCTGGACAAAGTGCAGCATAACACACGAGGTGTTTGCAATACTTGCCATAGCAATTTGTACTCAGCAAGGTCCATTCTTGCAATGCTATGGCATGTGCTAGGATAACCAGGGAAAAAATTGCGTGAAAAAATGGTTTGTTGTTGCTTTCAAGCAGAGAGGGAAGGAGGAGATAAGTGCATTATGGGATGCTAATGAAATGTACCCAGAACCACCTGCTGCAATGTTTTTGTTCCATTAGGAACTAGGAGCTTAACCCAGAATGCAAGAGGTGGCAGGAACTGTGGGATGGTGACACATAGTGCATAACTGTTAAAGTTGAAGATAGCCATGTTACTGGGTATGCACTCCAAGATGCTCATGCATCCAATGAGGACATGCACCATCAACTTTGTAAAACTGGATGCTAAAAAGTCGCCTTAATATATTTGTCCTAATTTTGTACTGTAGACCTACCCATAGAAGAAGACATGATAACTGCTTTCAAATATCTAAAAGGTTATTACCAGGAGGAGGGAGAAGAATTGTTCTTAACCTCAGAATACCACAAGAAGCAATGGGTTTAAATTGCAGAGAGGGGGGTTTAGGTTGGACATTAGGAAAAACTTCCTCTCAGGGTGGTTAAACACTAGAATAAATTGCCTAGGGAGGTTGTGGAATCTCCATTATTGGAGATCTTTAAGAGCAGGTTAGACAAGCAGTTGTCAGGGATGGTTTGATTAGTATTTGATCGTGCCATGAGTGCAGGGGATTAGCTTTGACCTCGTAAGGTTCCTTCCATTCTATAATTTTATGATTTTATGTTCCATGTTAGATGGCTAAATCAAAAGAATTTGAAAATCACATTTGAAGGACTTTTTTAATTGGATCAGAAACTAGACTGTACTGATTTAATATACAAAGACATATAGTAAAGCTCCAGAATCTGAAATGTTCACAGTCAAAAAATTGACAAGGAGACCTGTGGCACCTTAGGGTGTGTCTAGACTACAGGGTTTTGTCGACAAAAGTGGACTTTTGTCGACAAAACTAAACCTGTGTCTACACTACCGCTGAGTTCTGTCGACATAACGTTGACAGAACTCAGCAGTTTTGTCGACGCTGGTAAACCTCATTTAGAGTTCTGTCGACAGAAAGCATTATTGCATCTAAACTGTCCTTTGCGTCCACACTGTTATGTCGACAAAGCAGCTTGCTTTGTCGACAGAACTGAATGTAGTCTAGACGCTCTTTGTCGACAGAAGCTTTGTCGACTATCTGTCGACAAAACTTCTGTCGACAAAACCCTGTAGTCTAGACGTACCTTTATAGACTAACAGATGTATTGGAGCATAAGCTTTTGTGGGTAAAGACCTACTTCGTCAGATGCATGTAGTGGAAATTTCCTGAGGCAGGTATAAATATGTAGGCCAGAATAAGGCTAGAGATAATGAGGTTAATTCAGTCAAGGAGGGTGAGGCCCACTTCTAGCAGCTGATGTGGAGGTGTGAACACCTAGAGAGGAGAAACTGCTTTTGTACTTGGCTAGCCATTCACAGTCTTTGTTTAATCCTAAACGGATGGTGTCAAATTTGCAGATGAACTGTAGCTCAGCAGTTTCTCTTTGAAGTCTGGTCTTGAAGGTTTTTTGCTGCAGGGTGGCTACCTTTAAATCTGCTATTGTGTGTCCAGGGAGACTGAAGTGTTCTCTTACAGGTTTTTGTATATTGCCATTCCTAATATCTGATTTGTGTCCATTTATTCTTTTATGTAGGGACTGTCCAGTTTAGCCGATGTATATAGCAGAGGGGCATTGCTGGCACATGATGGCATATATTATATTGGTAGATGTGCAGGTGAATGAACCAGTGATGGTGTGGCTGATCTGGTTAGGTCCTGTGATGGTGTCACTGGTGTAGAGATGAGGGCAGAGTTGGCCCTGAGGTTTGTTGCAGGGATTGGTTCTTGAGTTAGAGTTACTGTGGTGTGGTGTATAGTTGCTGGTGAGAATTTGCTTCAGGTTGGTGGGTTGTCTGTGGGTGAGGACTGGCCGCTCAAAAGCAGCAGCTGTCTCATGGCACTCCGAGAAGCTATTCTGGTCGTGCAGCCAGCCATCACTCAGTTCTTTCTCTACCACCCTTGGTTTTAGTCAGAATGACAGCAGCACCATTATCTACTTTCTCTTTTCCTTGCCCTCTGCCCTTTTCTCAGTTTAAATTCCTGTCTTGTTAATCTCTTTTCATTTTTCTCTCATTTTTCCCCCTTAAGTAAAACAAACAGAGAGTCTTTTCCTGGCCTTTCTGTCCCTGCCTCTGGCAGGCAGTTGCTGAAGAGGCATTAGACCAGGACTATTCACATTCTTATTCAATACATCATCTCCGACACGCTTGGCTTGCCAGGCTTCAAACGCCGTCTGAGTTGCAGGCTCTCAATACCCATGACAGAAGGCCACTAGCGCTGTGTTTGTTGCCTGGGGAAGATACATATTACACAGAAGTGTTCCCACTTCTAGAATCTCACAGCATGGACAAAAAAAGCCAGGGACCTCCAACTAAAACTTTTACTGCTGGAGCGATTCCTCCATCCCACCTCCAAACCTGAGCCCATGACACCCTCCTGTCAGTCCTTATCTACAGCTGTCTCAGATATGAGATCCTCCTCCACCATGGCTGCTAAGGAGCCTGCTCCTAGCAAAACCACAAAAAAGCAGTCTCACTTCTTGCCACATTGGGATTCGCCTCCCAAATTGCCAAAACTGCCCCAGCACTAATGGCTCCTGGAGCGCTGGATTGAGAAGTGCCAAATCATCTGGAACCAAGATGTCTGGAATAGCAAAGGATCCTCTGTGGTCTCGCTCTCATAGCAGCAGCAGCAAACCTAACCGAAGTCTCATAGCTTGGCACTAAGGAAACAGAAATGTTAGCCACAGACACAGAGTAGCACTATCGTGCCACTTGCGCTTGCCTGTGCCATTGTTGAGTGTACTGATGCTGCAGCACTTTGTCAGTCATGCAGACTTCCTCATTGCTTCCGCCTTGAGAACTCCACACTTTGGCATTGACGGCACCAGGCCATTGTGGTAGTTTGTCCCCTCCTCGCTCCAGTAAGGAAAGGGAGACAAGAGTGGGTTCATCTTACTATTTTTCTCCTATGCTTGGACCCACTCAGCCGCAGGATGTGGGTTGGCAACCCCCACAATGGGTGCTCCTTCCCATGGCTTTCCGCTGCATTATACAGAACCCAGAATACCCAGCCATCCAATACATGAAGATCCAGGACTCAGCAACTGCCTCTGCCATCTGCTCTGGCTTCCCTAGAAGTTGATGAACTTGCAGACAGGTTGGAAGGTGACACCCTCCTACCTACTTACTCATCTCCGGATAATACAATAATGCTGTCCCCTCCCCTCCCATGGGAGATGACTTTAAATCCTTTCAGGATTTGTTTAAATGAGTAGCAGAGCCATAAGACATCCCACTGGCTGAGTTACCACAGACTCAACACAAGCTGACAGAAACATTACAAGCTTCTCCATCAGCAAAGATAGCACTATCCATTAATGCTGCCATCATGGACCCAGCAAAAACGTATGGCAGATTCCAGCCATGGTCCTAACTTCTTGTAAGCAATCAGACAAGAAGTATTATGTGCCAGCTAAAGGAGCTGAGTTTTTGTTTATTCGCCTTTCTGCAAACTCATTGGTGGTCCTACAGTTAATAAAATGGGGAAGCAGCATCAAACCAAAAATATCCCCTAAGATAAAAATTGGAAATGCCACTGGGGCATTCTGTTTGATACCGGCCATAAACTTGATCACTACTTGTTGAGCCTGATGATCTTGCCAACTTTCTATCCACCTTACAGTCCATTTATTCAATACATTCTACTTTAACTTGCTGGCAAGAATACTGTGGGAGACTATATAAAACGTTTACTCAACAGTGTTTGGAAGCACCAGTCAGCATTAATTACTGATGTGCTACTAGCCTTCTGCTCTTGTTATTTTGTGTCCCCATGTGGGTCCTCAACAGTAGCACAGAATTCTTTATCTCTGGATCATAAAGCAGAAGCCTTGACTGCCTGCATTAAAAGGTCCCAATCGGTTACCCATCTCATCAATCTTTATACATTTCCCAGCCACAGTTAGAAAGGGAATCACTCTAAGTGGGTATAGGTTACATGTTCCACCTAGGTGAGGAAGCTTGTCCCCCATGCAGCCCTGACAACAGAGATTGAATTTGGGACTTCTACATCTGTATGCAAGAGCCTGAACTGCCACATCTGAATGATCCACATCTGAAAGTCAGGGATGCATCATCATCGTCATCAACCTTTGTGTCGTAATCACCACTAGACAGGGACAAAGCATGATACTGTTTAACTTTAGATACATGTGGCAATTTCTATTTCCTTGTACTTCAGTCCATGCCAAGTAGAGTCCAGGAGAGTCTGCTCTGCAGATCGTCTACATCATTCAAGGTGAATTTTACTCCTATCCAGACATTCAGACCAGTGAGACTTTAATGGAGCCTAGGCTTTGTGTTGGCCTTTTGCACAGGCTGCATTTCTGTTTTACTACTTAGGTTACAATGTGAAACTTTCAAGGCTGTGGAAAAGATTGTCTGATGTTACACTGTATCAGTTGAGAAATAGTGTGTGACCTTACCCTGAAATTAAAGACTGTTGTTAAAGTGTCAGAATTAAGAGTGTGTTTTTAACAGTAATTTTAGCATTTCTTTAGTTTCAAATGTTTAACTGCAACATTAACTTCTCTTAATGTAGGGTTTTTTTGGTGGAATAAATTCCTAAGATTAGGGTGACCATCTTGCCCTGTGTTGAATACGGGACACCTGATAAAATTATTCTTAATTCACGTGAGTTCAGTGGCAATCAATCAGAAGAGTGAAGTACAAACATTCAAATTAACATCAAGTTGACTGAGCCTCTGTTAAACATAAATACTGTGGAGCTGGATTCTTGCTAATTACTTTTTTCTCTGTGAGGCGTTAGGGTTCACACGGGCAGAGGGACACACGCATACTCCTGTACACCTCTCCCACGGAGAGTGACTGACTGACCTGAGCCTCCCTAGCCAGCACTCTCTATCCTCTCGGCCTGACTGGGTGCCTAGGATAGACCCACCTTTCCTGGTACCTGGAACTTCGTCTTCATGAGGCAGCCCATGGGGGGCACACAGAGTCTCTGGGAAGGGACACGCTCCACGGAGGGGGCCGGAATGGAGGATCATTGGGGCTGGGGGGTATTAAGGGGCATAGCAGAGAAGACAGCAAGAGAGGGAGCGTGTAAAGTGCCAATGGTGGGCAGCGGAGGCAACAAGTAACTAGCCGCCATCTGGCACCTGCTCACACTCAGCAGCCTCTGCTGCTCTCAGTGTTCAGTCACAGCTAGCCAGAAATGGGACAGGGGAGCAGGGTTTTGTTGGCTGACAGCTGGCACAGCGCAGACACTGCACCGGAGCCCCAGCTGGGGGAGAGGCTTGCCCTGCCCGCTGCAGCTTTGTCCCACCCTCAGCTTTGCACCCCCCCCACCATTGTCGGCCACCGGACCCCCCACTCACTACTGGTGATCAGGCCAGCAGCAGAAGAGCTGGGACAATTTGCCTGTTTTTAAAGAAAAGTCGGGACACCTGGAGGAAGGCTGAAATCTGGAACTGTCCCTTTGAAAATGGGGCCTCTGGTCACCCTATTAGGATAGTTAAATGGTCCTATAAAAATGTTTTGTGGCAGTTTTATGTCTTTCATTTTCCCAGCATATGCTCAAAAGCTTATTTTTGTGTTTTTTATTGTTGGTTTTGTAATTTTTATTTTAGTATTGTGGCAACCCCCTTATTTTTTCAACTCTGGATAACTTCAGATGTTTAAGTCCTCTGGGCATGGACTTTTCTTTTTATCTATAAAGCACCAAGCTTTATACTGCTGTGCAATTGTATAAATAACGTGTATAATCATTAATATAGTCTCTTGTCAACTTGTAACTCCTTCTACAATATGTGTGACTCACTCCTTGTCATGACTGCAGTAAAATTCCATTAATATTTTCTGTTAACAGGCAAAAGAGGCAGTGAGGGAAGCAGAGAGGTGCGATCCCAGCAGCATCTTCACTCAGTTCAGTGTGTATAAGGTTGCAGTCTTAGAGGGCAACACTGAAAAAGGTAGAAACAATCAGAAGGGATATTGCTAAGAAGATATGATTATTTTTCAGTTTTATTGATTTGATCTTTTCCCAACAAAAATCCTGCCTTTGACATAGCTTCTTCTCCACCTATGTCCCCAATTCTCTTCTCCCTCTCAGTTCAAGTTTGTCTTCCTCAGCTGCATCCTAGACCAGTGCTTCTCAACTTTTTTTTTTATAAAGTACCCCCTTTTCAAAAAATATTTATAAGTACCCCCAGTACCTACAGATTTCGGACACACGGGTTTTTTTCTACCATTGTAACACATTTGTTTAAACAACTTAATCGTAGCTGGGCGGGTGATGAAACTTTTGGGTGTAAAAGTACAAAACTCATAAAGTGCTGTAAAACTTAAACAAATATTCAGTTTTCTTCAAATTTCAGTTGTGTTGATATACCTCCCAGACTTCTCTCGAGTACCCCTTCGGGTACTCATACCACTGGTTGAGAAACACTGTTCTAAACCATTTCCAGTCTGGCTTCTGCCCTTTCCACTGAAACTGCCTGCACCAAAGTCTCTAATCACCTCCTCCTGGCCAAATGTCAGTGCCTCAGTTGCATCCTTAACTTCCGTGGTCTCTGTTGCTTTTGATAATGTTGATCATTCTCTTCTTGACTTCTTATCTACTTGGTGTCTCTATGGTACTGTGCTTTCCTAAGTCTCCTCTTATCTCTTTTCCCCTTTTACACTTTTTGGAGGGTAGTTCTCCTCTCTCCCACTTTCTGATGAAGTCTCATAGGTCTGCAACCCCCTCCTTTTCTTTCATATATTGTATTCTAGGGCAGTGGTTCTCTACTAATGATCTGTGGACTTCTGGATGTCCACAGACTATCTCTAATGGGTCCGTGAAATGTTGTTACCATAGAGCATTTGTTTGCAGCCTGTGGTCCATGGACTCCTGAAGGGCCATAAACTATATCTAAGATTTTGCAAGGGGTCTGTATCTCTATCTGAATTTTTTTTAGGGGTCCACAGATGAAAGAAGGTTGAAAATCACCGTTTTAGGTGATCTCATCTGCTCACCTTGATTCAGTTCAGAATTTTTATTCTGATTCACCTCCCTCTCTACCTCTAATATGTCATGATCCAGCCAATCTGACCTTTTACTCTCTCTGTTAGACTTTTCCACCCGAATGTTTTGCTATCACCTTAAACATAACTTTGTGAAAGTTTTGCTTCTCAGATTGCCTGTTGTGTGCTGATCTCGCTCATTTTTTTTCTGTCATAGTTGATGCCAACATCATTCTCCTTATTTATTTTGGAATTGGACTTTTGATATTCTATTCATCTGAAGAAGTGAATTGTACCCACTAAAGCTCATGGTACCATCTGCATGTTTTGTTAGTCTTTAAGGTGCTGCTAGACTATTCTTTGTTTTTTTTAAAGTTTTTCCAGTTACAGACTAACTCGGCTATCCCTCTGAATTATTCTCCTTGTCATTGATTCTGTAACCTGAAAATGGTTAGTTTTAGTAACCGGTGTTTGGTTCTTTATAGGATTTGAAACCACAAACAGAGGAATACTCCTTTTTAGGGTTAAACAAAGATTTTTATTTTCTATTTGCTTTTTAATTAATTTCTCACTTAAATCAACTCACTGTCTTTAATTCTTCTCAGACAGTATAACATACAGATAAAAATATAAAAAATAAAACAATTAAAGCAAATATAATAACTCCCCCTACAGCTATACCCTCCACTTTACCTTTTGACAGTTTGTGGAATTTTCTGTCATACCTGTATAATACTTACATTAAGACGGATAGAAACATTGTTTAGATTCAAGAGATATTCTTTTTCTTTCCGGTGTTCCTCTTTCGGAGCTTACATACGGCAACGGGATTCAGCGACAGGGAGAGAGCTACTTGGTTGATCAGACCTAGCTTTTCGGATTCACAACTCTTTCACTTTCTGTCTGCTCAACCTTATATACACCTTTTTCTTCTTGCCTGGCAATGCTGACATCACTTCTTTGCCTATATTTGGACTTGTTTTTAATTTTTGTGGTCTGTGCTACTTTTTGTTTCCCCTGAAGCAGGGGTTTTTGTAGGTCATCGAATTCAATTTTAGTTTTTTGCTTACGTCTTGTGTATCTGAACAATGCTTCCTTTTCTTCATAGGTACATAGAATTTAGTGCTCATTTAACATTCTGTGGTTAAGCTCTCACCACTTCCTATTGACAATTAGGTAAATGGTCAGCAAGGATTACAGACATTGTTAATGTCTATTGTTTGTTTATAGCTTAATAGAACAGCACCCTCCTCTGTAAACTGTGCATATAATTTCTTTTCAGCCATGTGATCCCGTCTTCTTACTGTCTGCATTGTTTGTTACATTCGCTTGTTGCCTGTAGTTTTAACTAGAGGTGTAAGCTCTATGAGGCACCTACTGTTGTTTTATAGATTAATGCAGTGGCCAGCACAATGTAGCATTTATCCTTATGGGGTCTCTGGCTGCTACTGAAATACAGATAATAATAATAATGATACTTATAGACATAATCATCGTCCTTCACGCCCACTGGCGTATAGGGCAGCAACAAAGGTCCCCCACTTCTGTCTGTCTCTGGACACAGTTGCAAGGGAATTCTTTGTTGCTGTTTCCATAACAAAAGCTTTTTCTAGATCAGGGTTGTTAGCCCTGAGCCAAACCCCCAATTCTGGAGGACCGGTGTGCATGCTTAGTCTGGCTCCTATCCCCTTGACCTTACCAGCTTGGTCAAACCTACCAGAGCACTAAGCTCCCGCCAGCATAGCTCCTGGAATCATAAGTACATGCAAGCTGCCCCGCCCCGACTAGGCGCATGCACAAGGGACCGTACAGACATAATAATATAATAATAATTCTAGACATCTGTAGCTATAGAAAAGGCAGAATCTGGGGACCTTTAATCCCTCTTAGCATTTTCATGGAAGAAGAGTGGAAAATGAGTGGAGAAATATTTTAGCCCTTCACAGCATCCTCTGGCAAAGGGTTCCACAGGTTAACAGTATGTTGTATGAAGAAATATACTGGGATGAGAGGTTTCCTGCACCGTCTTATTTCCTGTGTGCACCTACTACTGACTCTCTTACTCTAAAAGTGGCAGTTATCACAATTCACTGGCTGTGTCTGTTGTATCCACACTACCATACAACTGATTAAGGGTTTATCTCTGTCAAATAGTGATTGTTACCTGCCCAACAAATATATGGAGCATTTTTGTGTCTGCAATGTACACAAGGAAATTGCACAGACCAGCACCCTCTATTGTAAGTGAGTGTAGCTCTTTTTAAAATAAGTGGGATATATGTCCACTCAGACAAGACTGCAGTTGTCTTTGAGAGTGCTGGGCATGAAAAGCTTAAATTAAAATATGGCTCAGAGTCTCCTTCATCTTTAACATCATACTGATAGCTTTGTTTCTTGCTACTGCCCTATCCTCCTACCCCTCCTTTGTTATGTTACATCCATTTAATGGCAACTGAGGTAAACACTGAGCTAGGCTTACAGTATTGTTGCACCAGCTAACTCAGGGTGGAAAATAATTTTTGATGTGGGGGGCACTTGAAGAAATCGGAAAGTGGTCAAGGGCTGCACTCTTCTATATTAATGGAGGAGGTGTGGGGTCTGGGATGGAGGTTGGGTGCAGAAGGGAGCTTTCAGTAAGGGATTGGGGTGCAGGAGAGGACATGGGGTCTGGGAGAGTGTTTGGTTGAAGGAGGCAGTTGTGACCTGGGTTAGGGGACTAAGATGCAAGAGTTCGGATTGTGACCTTAGGCAAGAGGTCCCTGGGGAAGGGAACTAGGGTTCCAGGAGGAGTTAGAAGGGTTTGAACTGTGACCTAGCGCAGGAGGGGGTTGTGACTTGGGGCAGGGAACCGGGGTGGGAGGGTGTGCAGGGGTTTGGGTTGTGACCTGGGGCAAGGGATTGCCCAGGGAGGTTTTGGAATCTTCATCATTGGAGATATTTAGGAACAGGTTAGACAAACATCTATCAGGGATGATCTACATGGTGCTTGGTCCTGCAGTGAAGGCAGGAGACTGGACTTGATGTCCTCTTGAAGTCCCTTCGAAATTTCATATTCTAGTATTCTGTGACTCTATAAAGGCATCACACTGGCATGAGCCAAGACATGGGAAAGTGGGAACCCACCCAGTTTATGGGTTATATAGTAGATGTAGTGTTTGGCTTTTTGCAACAACCAGGCATTTGAACAAGACTGAGGTAAAGTTTGCCTTGTTTAGTAACACTCTTCTGTAGCCAGAAAAACCATATAATTATCTTTCTAGCAAGCACTTTGCTTAACTGTAAAGAAGTGTTAACATGCTTACTAAGTTGGGACAGGTTTTCCAGGGGAGTTTGTGAAAATCAGTTGAAGATGTCAGCCTTTCCTTAAATGAGTATGGTATTTGTGTTAAAATACCAGCGTACAACTAGTTCCATATGCTTCTATGAAAAATTGTGCTAACAGCTGGTTCTTCTTCAAGTGATGTCCCTGTGGGCACTCCATTGTTGGTGTTGGGCTTGTCCTGGCGCCGCAGATCAGAGATTTTTCAAGTGGTTTCTGGTCGGGCGCGCATGCTCCTATGTGGCGTGTGTGGTTCGCGCCTTTGAAGTGTGTGCATGCGGCCTGAGTCTCCTCAGTTTTCCTCATACTGCCCTCAGTCACAGACAGAGTCCAGTCCTATCCTTCTCTTGGGATCCCGTAGATAAGAAATTACTGTTTACCTAGTTAGAAATTTATAGTTATCGTGTTTCTCTTTGAATTGTTCAAAAAACCAAAACAAAACCCTGTTTCTTATGTAAATGGTTACTGCGTCAGAGACCCACTCATACTGGTTCCTGCTTCCCTCCCTTTCCCTCTCTCCCCTCCCCCCCAAAAAAAAGAAAAAGAGGAAGAAAGAACTACGAAAAAAGTCAATCAAAATGCCCGGCTCTCTCTGGTTTCAAAAAATGCAACAAATGTCGTGACCTTATGCCCGTATCAGATGGCCAT